TTCAGTTCCTCAGATGCTCTCTGCGTCTTCCAGCACCACTGCCTCAGCCTGTGCAGACCAGCCTGCCACAGTCTCTCCCCGCTCCACCTCTCCACCCAGAGATCCACCCTCCCTCTAATCTTGGCACCTACTCCAGGCAGCCTTCCCAGACACCTATGGCCATCAGACACCCTGCTATAGGCTCTCATTAATCCTGGAGTTCCCCTTCTGGGTTCTTATCTCAGTTATAGTTGCATTATTCTTATAATTCGATTATTTGTTCAACAGATATTGGCTGAGAACCTATGAAGTGCCAGGCACTACTGTGAGTGCTGGGGATGCAGTGGTGGCATAGTTGGGGCTACCATGGCTGAAGAAAACAGGAATTCTTCAGAACAGACTTGATATAAACTGGACTTCTTTTCCTCACACAAGCAGAAGTTCAGCCGTGGACAGCGGTGGCACTGTCGCGGCACGCAGTGTTGGGTCCAGGCTCTCTTGAGGCTCTTGGCCTTTTTCTCATGGTCACTTGGTGGCTGCCACAGCTCTAACGATCACATCTGCTGTTTCAAGGAAGGAAGGGTCGGGGATGGTGGCCCCTGACCTTTTGTTTTATGAATACAGGAACCCTCGGTGGACTTCGGCCTAGTCACTGGCTAGAATTGTCACATACTTGCTGCCTGCGTTGGAGCTCACCAGGGGAAACTGAGCAGGGGAAGGGGAGGGGGTGGTGGCTGTTTTAGGATATCTGAGTGGGGCTTTGAGTTCCGCGACAGGGCCGCTGTGCCGTATGCGAAGAGCGGGAACAGCGGCCAACTTGTGTGAGGGCCACAGCGAGTTGGGCCCTGTAAACTTGAGGCTGGAGGCAGCCACTGACTCAGTTCAGGGAGTTGCAGCATATCTGCAGGAAGCTTCTCTTGGTGGTGGGGATGAGAGGGAGTGGTCTGATCGGCTCGTGTGTGTCTTCGTGTTCCTCGGACGTTTTTCCTGACTCACAGAAATGTTTCGTACCTTGGCTTTTATTTTATTTACTTAGGAAAGTGTCAGCCCTTATTTGTTTCACATATCAGAGACTGCGAGATTGTGTAAGTGAGAAGTCTTTTGCACTGTATGCCAGATTGCACAGTTTCTTCATAAGTTGTGTAACATCGACTTATGCTTATTGTAGAGAACTTAGTGCAGATGAAAAAAAAGAAATATTTAAATCATCCTATCCTATCTATATTGATTTTTTAAAAAAATAAACCTTGATTTTGGAGTAATCGATTTTTGGGAAAGTTGTAACCACAGTACTGGGGGATTTCTATTTTGTAGGTAATTTTTCTGCCCCCAGGAGGTCATGTCTGTCTGGTTCTCGTTTCTGGCACCGTAGGCCAGTGGGTGCAGTATGATGCGTGGTCAGGTTTTTGTGAGACATGTATTTATTGTTCCTTGTTCCTGGGGCATCCTTTCGTACCCCTTCTGCTCCTCTCCTGGTTGGGCTGGCCCTCATTCCTCAGTGGGTTATTCTGCGAAGCCCAGGTTCTGGCCCCTCCTTTACTGAGCTGTTAGGGGAGCCTTGGACATGCAAGCGGGATGGATCTCCACCGTGCTGAAAACCCTGCGACTTTCTGCAGCTCGGTTTCGGCTGTGGTTGGAGGCGGCCAGTCTTGGTTCCTGTGTCTTCTCCGCCTTCCCAGAAGTGCTGTGTGTGTGACGAGGCAGCCTTTCGGCAAATTGCCTGGTGCTTCAAGTGACTGGCGTCAGTTTCTGATGCTTGCCATGAAGAGTGCTGCCTGAGCCGGGCTCGGTGGCTCAGCCTGTCATCCCGCACCTTTGGGAGGCTGAGGTGAGTGGATTGCCCGAGCCCGCGGGGCCGAGACCCGCCTGGGCAACTTGGTGAGACCTCGTTTCTACAATAAATCAAAAATCAGCCGGGCGTGGTAGCGCGCGCCTGTAGTTCCAGCTACTTGGAAGGCTGAGGCGGAAGGATCGCCGAGTCCAGCAGGTCGAGGCTGTGGTGGCCGGGAGTGGCCGCTGCACTCCAGTCTGGGCGACAGTGAGATTCCAACTCAAAAAATAAAAAAATAAAAAAGAGTGCTGCCTGATCCTGGTGGCTGGTCATGTTCCTGAGATGAGTCCTGCACCCAGGCCTCCTGACTCGGGCTCTGCGGGGAACCTCAGCCTGCAGCCTAGCCTGAACTGGGTGATAGAGAAGACATGGTAAACTGCATTCCAGAGAGTTAAGCAAACATAAGCTGGTTTCTCTACTGCCAGGTGGCTCGCAGCTCACGCACCACTGTGCAGGGTGAGTTTCCAGGAAGGTGCTGCAGCGCCCAGGCTTCTACTCTTGCCCCCAGCACCCTGCTCTCCTGGCAGGCTCTCCTGTGAACACCGTTTGGGAAATGCTGTCATGGACACCTGACCTGGATGGCGGACTACTGATACTTCAGCAAGTCTTTTATAAGTCCCTGTGTGTGTGACACATGGGGGACACTGATCCACGGCCACCAGCTCGCTGCCTGAGAAGCAGTGGCTCACTCAGGATGTTGAGATTTGCCTGCAGGCATGAGGGGCTTGGGGCCAGGTTTGGGGGCCACTGACTATGGCTCCAAGAGACGTAGGTGATGGGAGAGGGCATGGAAGCTGCTTTTGAGGGATGGGCAGGATTTTGATGCTTTGGATCAGATTTGGGGGAGAAAGGCAGGGTGCTCCAGGTAGGGAGATCAAAGACAAAGGTTAACATGGTTGTTGTGGTGGAAATAGTAGTGATCCCCAAAATCCTACTGAGGCCTTCAGGGTGCCAGTCTTTTATATATATTCCCTGTAATCTTGTGCTTACCTTGCAGTTTGGTTTTTATTTATCTTCCAGGTAAAAACACTTGTAGAACAAATAATGATTTTCTCAAAGAACTGGCACCCAGTGGAAGGGAGGCAGGGATTACCACCCCCTGCCGTTATCTGGTCCTACTCCTTATAGTGAAGTGGAACAAGTGGCTCCTCCCATCACAGGGGCTTCTCCGCCCTCAGGAAGCTGGATGCTTATCCGGCAGGCAGCAGGGAGCCTGAAACTGGGGATGTTTAAGGAGTATGAAGTGGGCAAAGAGCCTCCCTGGCAGAGGCTCTGACACTGGGGTGGGATCCTTTTCAATTTCCTATCAATCTGTACGGAAAATAAAATGTGTACAGGGCCACTCTGGAGTCTGATTGCTTGGGACTGAATCTTGGGAGTAATGCTTCTGCAAAACACCGGTGTGACTTGGGGACTGTTGCCTGACCCCTTCAAGCGACACAAACACACCTCTCTCTTCTGGCTGTTGGAAAGAGAGATAAGAGAACCGAAGTGTGGCATTAGAAACATGTGGAGGGCAAGGAGAGAGAGAGAGAAGATAACTGGGGTGCCGGTGGAGGGTTTCACAGGACGGGAGACACCAGGCGGCACGGTGCAGGGTGGACTGGCAGGGTGAGCATTCCACAGAGTGCAGGGACAGGGCGGCAGGCCCCAGGATGCGGGTCTGCTGCTGTGCAGGGACGGAGCTGGAAAGGGCAAGTGAGCCGCTGGGCAGGGGTCAGCAGGCCCTTCCTGCAGCAAGAGACCGCGTGTGAACAGACGATCGTGGCTATACGCCAGTAAAACTTTATTTAGGAAAACAGATGCCCGATCTGCGAGTTTGCTGACCCCGCTCCAGCCCCTTGGTGTAGCAGCTGTTGACTGGTTCTCTGTGAGCGTGGAGGGTGGGCAGTTGGGCCGGAGCGGGAGGAGCCCAGGCGTGATGGGGGTCCATGAGGAAGGCCTTTCTGAGCAGTCGGGAGTGGACAAGGGCCGCTGGCGAAGCGGGCCAGGAGAAGGGAGATTGAAGAGCTAAGATAACAAGACCCCTTAACGAAACATAGGTGTGAGGGTGCTGAGCCAGGAGGAGGCTTCCTAGGATCGGGCTGGTGTTGCACAGCGTTGCTAATGTTGTTCATGCCGGAGTGCACGCCTGCAGGGAGGCAGTTTGGGACACGTTCGTTTGAGGAGCTACCTCTGGGACGAAGGAACAGAGGCAGCGAGTGAGCCATCAGCTTCAGCATCTGGAACTCAGGGTGTTTGGGATGAGGAGGGCGTGGGTGTGTGGGTTATCGTTGGTGGTGTCCTCGGCTTGAGGGGGGCGAGGAGGGTGGTGAGCCTTGTCTGCTTGTTTCCAGGGACCAGAGGAGGAGCTGGAAGAGAGAGGAGGCGATCGAAGGACTTGGGCTGGTCCAGGTGGTCAATCACCATCCCTTGCCTCCCCCTGAACTGGGATGGTTTTCATCAAATACCAACTTGTCTAAACCTCATTACTGGCGTCTCGCTCCTCTCAATGCATCAGTTCTTTCTTTTAAGCCCTTGCTGTGTTTCCCAAAGTTAATATCTATCAAAATCATTGGCACAGAGAATACATCCCTAGGCTAACTCTTGTGCATTTGTAAATTTCTCTGAATGCCAATTAAGTCTTCTCTCCACAGCATCAGGGTTTTATCCCAACATTGCACCTTCTCACCTGCTGCCTACTAACAGATGCCGTTGTATAAGTGCTGAGTTGAATCTCACTCCATTTCTCTACTTCATTTCATACATGCTTTATTTTTAGAAGTACTTTATTCCAAATAGTGAATGGTGTTGTCTACTGTTTGTATTGTCTATTTTATTAAATGGTTTTATTAAAGCAAGTTTAGCTTAATTTTCGGTTTTATTTAAAAGGAGTCCTTACCAGCTCAACTTCCTTCAACTACACATTGGTTAAAGATAGATGAGAAGAATCGGAAAATAGTAATTTAAGGAATTAAAGGGAGATTGTAGTATTGGTTGGCTGCCCTAGGTAATTGTGGTAATTTTCCATCTTCAAAGTAACTCTATTGTAAAGATGACATATCATATATTTAAATCCCAAAACTGAGGGGAAAACGCTGGAATATATTTTGCGTCCTAAGTAACTGGTGCTTCTGGTGTGCATTATCCTTGAGAACACTTCCACATACTCTTTCTTATTTGATTGAACAATTGTTTCTGTTCAGGTGCTTGGCAGAATGGACAAGACCTGCGAAATGAAGCACAGGATGTTGGACAGCCCTTTGGGGAAGATAGAGCTCTCTGGTTGTGAACAAGGTCTGCATTGCATAAGGATCCACGGCAGGAAGGCGTCTGACGCGGGGTGAGTGCAGCCTGCCCTAGCGCCCCCGTGCACTGTGTGCCGAGGCAGCCACTTGTTCTCCACAGATCCCAGGGTCCCATACAGCCTTACGCCGCCAAGTGCAAACGTTAACCTCTCTCGAAACGGTGTGTCGTGATTGTTCTGGCCTTTTCCATCTCTGTGCGTGTTGCCAGGAGTCCTCCACCTCTGGATCACCACAGGGACCTCACCTTTCATTCGTAGCTCCAAGATGTTCGACTAATGTGCATACAACTAGAGAGGGGTTGATTGATTGTGAGCATTGAGCATTTTGATTCTTCAACGTAGTCTCCGGAAGTTTGGAGACAGGGAGATGTGAGACTAACCTTGGTTTTTTAAAAACCAAGACCAGCCTTCCCTGTTGGTCTGAGTCTACCAGGTGAGTTTCATAGTGACTGCTTGATGTCCTGGACTCGCTCGGTCGGGAGCGTCACGTGCCTTCTTAGAGACACAGTTGGTGTGTGTGCGGCTGGGGACAGCCCTGCTAGAAGGAAGGACACAAAAGTCCCTTTCTAGCATGTCGTTAGGTCATCTCTAAGAGGGTGCGTGTTTCTCTCTTTTGGTGAACAGGCTCCCCACTATATTTCTTTAATTGGAAAGACCAAAAACTCCAGAGCATTCCTTAAAGTTTTGTTTTGAAGTGTAACATTTGATTTCCTCGATCCATTCGTTGTGAGCAGTTGTATTCAAATTGTAGTTCTTGTTATTTCTGACAGAAGGGAAAAAACCACCCACTCCTATGCTCAGTGTTTGTCTTAACTGGCTAATAAACACAATGCCAAGAACATTAGATAAAGAAAATACATAAGAAACATAAAAATTGATTTTAATGGACCCCTGTCAGAGTTGGCCATAATGAGCACAAGTGCAGTCATAAATATCCATGTTCGCCTCCACTGTCGAGATTTTTCCTGTGGAGCTGCATGTTACAATCAATACCGTCTTTTTTAAGACCGAAAAATAAGCAAACCTTTGAACTGTGTGAATACACTCTTCTCAGTTTCTATGAGAACCATCTGGCTGTGGTGTTCAGAAAATCACAGGCACCAAATAATTTGTAGGGGAAAATGTCATTTTGTCTTTTAGCATGTTCGGTTGTACAATAAATCATAGAAATTGCGTGTTAGGTTTTTCTTTTGGAAAAAACAAAGAGCAAAGGTATACTCCTTAATGCGAGCTTGAGGAAGAAAAAATAAAAAAACAAAAGAAAACAAGCATTGCAAGATATGTTTAGTTAAATGCTCATTATGGATTATGCACATAGAATGAAAAGACTTAATTCTGAATTTCTGCTTTATGGGCTTTCTGAATCAAGCGAGGATCAGGCTTGGAGGTGAAAACAGGACCTTCAAATACTGGCCTGCATAGGATGTGGCTCATTTCTCTCAGGAAGACACGCTTGTTGACCAATAGTGGAGGCCAGATCCAGCAGCTTTTGCCCTCAGGAACTCAGGGTCACCAAACCCTGGTCCTCGCCCTGGTGCTTCAGGCCAGCCCTAGGGCCCAGGCTGCAGGTAGAGGAGAAAAAGAGGAGGGCGTGCCCGCTCCGCTTCCAGAGGTAGTGTCTGCTCTTGTTCCTGTCTCATGGCTTGGAGAACTCTGTCGAGGCCACACCTGGCTGCACGGGATGGGAGGTTATCCTATTGGCTCTAGTTAGGGACCCCGTGAGGAAGGAAGGAGAGGGATTAAAGAAGACGAGGGATAGCCAGCAGCAGATGTGTGTGTAGTCAACTTCGAGAAGGAAAATTTTTTTTTTTTTTTTTTTTTTGAGTTGGAGTCTCACCCTGTCGCCCAGACTGGAGTGCAGCGGCTGCTCCCGGCCACCGCAGCCTCGACCTGCTGGGCTCCGGCGATCCTTCCGCCTCAGCCTTCCGAGTAGCCAGAATTACAGGCGCGCAATACCATGCCCGGCTAATTTTTTGATTTTATTGTAGAGATGAGGTCTCATCTGCCCAGGCGGGTCTTGAACCCGCGGGCTCAGGCAATCCACTCACCTCAGCCTCCCAAAGGCGCGGGATTACAGGCTGAGCCACTGAGCCCGGCGAGAAGGAACATTTAAACGTTGGCGAACAGTATAAAAGTGGTATGAATACTCAGAATTCAGTTTTTAACATTTTATTATTTTTTTGAGATCTCGCTCTGTCGCCCAGGGTAAAGTGCAGTGGCACGATCACAGTTCACTGCAGCCTTAACTTCCTGGGCTCAGGCAGTCCTTCTGCCTCAGCTTCCCAAGTAGCTGGGACTACAGGCACGTGCCACCATGTCCAGCTAGTTTATTTTTTTGTTTTTGTAGAGATGAGGTCTCGCTATGTTGCCTAGGTTGGTCTTGAGCTCTTGGACTCAGGTGCTCCTCCTGCCTCAACTTTGCAAAGTACTGGATTATAGGCGTGAGCCACCGTGCCCAGTCTTCATTTTGCCATTTTTTAAAATTGAAGTGAAAATTGCATAGTGGAACTCAGATTTTTAAGTGTACTCTTCAGCGAGTCTTGACAAAAGTGTACAGCCATATAGCCAGCACCCAATTCAAGGTGTAGAACACTCCAGAAAGTTCCCTTGTGCTCCTTTTAAGTCAGTCCTCTTTGTGGATTCTTGTTTAGACCTCACTGTGGACATATGGTTTCATTTCTCCTGAATGAATTCCTGGATTGGATGGCAAATATATGTTTAACTTTATAAGAAACTGCCAAAACTTATCCCACAGTTGTATCATATTACATTTTCACCAGCAATATATGAGAGTTTCAGTTGCTCCACCTTCTTGCCAATACTTAATGTTGTCAGTTTTTAAAACTTTAGCCATTTTGTTGAGTATGAAGTATTATCTCACTGTGGTTCTAATTTGCACTTTCCCAGTGACTTACAAATGGCTCATTGACCATTCCTGCGTTTTGTAAGGCATCTACTCCAGTCTTTTGCCTATCTTAAAATTGGTTTACTTTCTTTTTTTAGTTGTTATTTGTGGTCTGGATACAAGTCTTTTGCCAGATATATGTATTGTGATTTTTCTAACAGTCGGAGGCTTACGTTTTTGTTTATCTAGTAATGTCTTTTGATGAGTAGAAGTTCTTAATTTGATGAAATCCAGTATATTGTCTTTCTTTTTATATTTAGCAGCTTTTTATGTTCTTGTTAAGAAACATTTGCCTACTGTAATTTCACAAATATATTCTTCTGTAATTTCTCCCAAAAATTTTAATTTTAGTTTTTTTATGTTTAGACACATGATCTGTTTTCTAAAATCTTATTTATTTATTTATTTATTTGTTGAGTTAGCATCTTACTCTGTCACCCAAGTTAGAAAGCAACAGCATGATCATGGCTCTCTGCAACATTGACTTCCTGGGCTCAGATGATCCTTCTGCCTCAGCCTCCTGAGTAGCTGGAACTACAGGTGTGCGCCACCATGCCCGGGTAATTTTTTAAATTATTTTGTGGAGACAAGGTCTTACTATGTGATCTTCTGGTCTCAAACTCTTGAACTTAAGCAATCCTCATACCTCAGCCTTTCAAAGTGCTGGGATTGCAGGTGTGAATTTCTGCGCCTGGCTATGTGATCTATTTTGAACGACATTTTTGTGAGGTACAGGTTTTACTGTTCCATACGGTTGTTCGTTTTAGCATCATCCATTGAAACAAACTTTACTTTCTTCATTGAATAACCTTGTTTGGTGCCTTTGTCAGAAATCAGTTGACCAAATATATGAGTCTATTTCTAGATGCTCTGTTTTGTTCAACTAATCTTTTTGTCTCCTCCGTGCTGGTTCCAATGACTTGGTTATGTAACTTCTGATAAATCTCCAAGTCAGGTATTGTGAGCCTTCACTGTAACGTAAAATCCTCTAGCTTTATTTTTAAGATTGTTTTGGCTTTAGGTCTCTTAAATTTACATACTACTCTTAGAATTGAGGTGTCAAAAATTCTTGGTATTTTAACTGGGAGTTCATTGAATCTATGTATCAATTTTAGGAGGGTTGACATCTTGAATTTTTCAGTTAATGTCTATGATTTATCTTTGCATTTGTTTGAGTTCTCTTACTTTTTCTTCAGCATCGTTGGGTAGTTTCCAGCTAGAGTACTTGCATGTCTTTGGCAAAATTGATTTCTAAATACTTTGTTCTTGGTGGTATTCTAAACAGTTTAAAACTTCCTTAACTTTTAACTTACAACTGCTGGTATATAAATGATTTTTGTATGTTGATCTTCTATTCTGTACTCTTGGCTAAATTCCTGTATTTGTTCGAGGGGTGATTTTGCAGTTCCTAAGGATTTTGCATCTAAAAATTCATGGTGTCTGTGAATGAAGATTATATGCTTCTTTCCTTCTGACCTTTAAGCTTTTCATTCCTTTTACTGTGCTATCTAGAACCCTGCAATATGTCTTTCGGTAAATCTGGTGACAGTGGGCCTCCTTCCTCTGCCCCTAGGCCTGGGGGATCTTCTAGCAGTTCACCAGTGAGGGTGACACTGTTGTGTTGGATTTGGAGTCATTCTGATGACATGACATCAGTTTGGAAGCATTTCTTCTGTTATTTTCTGAAACAGTAATGTGTGGGATCGGTATTATTTTTTTCTCAAGTTGCTGGATAAATTCACCTTTGACACCATCGAGGTTGGTGATTTTTGTGTAGAAAGCCCTTTGATTAGAATTCCTTGTTGAATAGAATGAGATGCTTCCTTTACCTACTTCAAAGCCCAAACGTGGCTTTTTGCAAATAGAGTCATTTGTGGTCCCCAAGGCTGCCATCCCCTGGTTGCTGAGTGCTGATGGCCAAAGGGATTTGGGGCACGGTATCCTGCTGGTTCCGGGTTCCTGCTCTCATCCTTCTCTTCAGGTGCTTGAGAGAGTCCTGGGATGATCTTTTTTTTTTGGAGTTGGAGTCTCACTCGGTCACCCGGACTGGAGTGCAGTGGCCGCTCCTGGCCACCGCATCCTCGACCAGCTGGGCTCTGGCGATCCTTCCGCCTCTGCCTTCCGAGTAGCT